TGAGCCACCATGCCTGGTTTGAGAGACGGCATCTTAACCACCACTATCATTACCACCATCACCATGATTTTGTAACTGAGGAATTGAATTAAACTCTTTCTCTTAAAATTTGTCTGTTTCTTCTCTCTCAGAATGAAGCATGGTAAGTGGAAGAAGAGATGTCAGGAAGTGGAAGCAGGAAGAGGCAGAAACTCACCATCCCAGGCTGAGGAGGACTCGTCCTCATTGTCGTCTTCATCCCACTGGGACTGAAAGTCTCCGGGACGAAGCAGCACTTTTTCTGGCTTTGAAGTCGGCAGGACAGACATGGACTGGGAAAGAGGCGTCTTCTGCAAATTCGACTTGGAAAATAAGGTCTTGATCTTCGATTTCTTTTTCTTGTCTTTGCCCACAGACTCATCATCACTGTCGACCGAAGGTGTCGTGCTAGGGATGATGGCTGAGGCGGTGTCTGACCCGCTGTCCTTATTCTTCCCCTTGATCTTGTCCTTCAGTTTTCCAAATGGATTCCGAGACTTGTCTTTCATAGAAAGGTCAAACATGCTGGCAGTCATGTTGTTTCTCATAAACTGAATGTCAACCTCAATTTCTCCTCGCTCCTTGTCCTTCTTTCCTGGTTTGGATTTCAGCTTATACCACCTGAAAGGAGAAAGGCCGAGGAGTTACTTTTGAATGGAAGCAACTGCAACAATGTTCACAATTCCCATGAACTGGCCTCTCCTCTTTGCTACCAGCAGCCTCTTCAATGCATGCATTCTCACACTTTCTCTTTGGGAAAGCAGAATGAGAGCAGAATTTTTTTTTTTTTTTTTTTTTGGACACAAAAGTCTTGCTCTGTCACCCAGGCTGGAGTGCAATGGAGTGATTTCGGCTTACTGCAGCCTCTGCCTCCCGGGTTCAAGTGATTCTCCTGCCTCAGCCTCCTGAGTAGCTGAGATTACAGGAGCTCGTCACCACATCCGGCTAATTTTTGTATTTTTAGTAGAGACGGGGTTTCACCATGTTAGCTAGGCTGGACTCGAACTCCTGACCTCAGGTGATCTGCCTGCCTCAGCCTCCCAAAATGTTGGGATTACAGGCGTGAGCCACTGCGCCCGGCTGACAGCAGAATTTGCACTTTTTTTTTTGAAACGGAGTCGCGCTCTGTGGCCCAGGCTGGAGGGCAGTGGTGCAATCTCGGCTCACTGCAAGCTCCACCTCCCCGGTTCATGCCATTCTCCTGCCTCAGCCTCCCCAGTAGTTGGGACTACAGGTGCCCGCCACCACGCCCGGCTGATGTTTTTGTTTTTTGGGGTTTTTTTTGTATTTTTTTAGTAGAGACGGGGTTTCACCATGTTAGCCAGGATGGTCTCGATCTCCTGACCTCATGATCTGCCCTCCTCGGTCTCCCAGAGTGCTGAGATTACAGGCATGAGCCACCGCGCCCGGCCTGCACTTTTATTTCTTTTGTTTTTTATTTTGCACTTTTAAGACATGCACTAGACAAAGATAGGATCCAGTGTTGTGCTTAGTGTATAATCACCTCAGATCCTGATTCAATAAAGAGCTCATTCTAAAAATAAAGAAAAAAAAATATTCTATGGAATCACTTCCGATGACTGATGTTTTCCTTCAGTAGGGTAAAAATGCAATGATCAGGGCCGGCACGGTGGCTCACACCTGTAATCCCAGCACTTTGGGAGGCTGAGGTGGGTGGATCACAAGGTCGGGAGTTCAAGACCAACCTGGCCCATATGGTGAAACCCTGTCTGTACTAAAAATATAAAAAATTTAGCCGGATGTAGTAGCAGGCGCCTGTAGTCCCAGCTACTCGGGAGGCTGAGGCAAGAGAATCACCTGAACCTGGGAGGTGGAGGTTGCAGTGAGCGGAGATCACACCACTGCACTCCAGCCTGGGC